TCCTCATCATCCCTAATCAGTGCTCTCAGCTCTAGTTTCAGAACCACCAGCCCCTGTACACTTGGCATTCTCATGGTCATGAACTAAAGACTACAGACCCCACTGCCTATCTAAAGTACTCACTCAATATGGTCCAACTGTCACGGTCACACTCAGGACTCCTGGCTGCAGCTTTTATGTTCTTTCACTACTCCTTTGTGTTTATTTCTTAGGTCACAGCTTTATATTTCATTATCAGGTAACATCCTTAATAACGTAATCCAACAGCTTACGCTGCCTTCCCTCATGCTGCTGGCATATATAAGCTTTCAGTAAGTCCATGCAACACCTAAGTCTATCAACGGCAAAAATTATGGGAAAAAAGTCAGGGTTGGGGTGGGAGTGGGGTGTTGTCTGACTTCTACTTCAGACAGAGAAAGCTGAAGAGAACACTGTTGCAACTCTCACATCACTAATAAAAAACACAAGCTCATTTCACAGGAAAACCAATTACTCTGAAAATCTCTTTAAAGACCTGCAACTTAAAAAAGAGACAGAACTGGGGCACTTCTTTACCTGAGGAAAAATGTCAAACATAATGCAAGCCAGGTAAGAATACAGCTAAAATGTTTAATGAATTGCTGAAGGCCGTCTACCGGCCAGTGTGAAAGAACAGAACCTTTGGGAAGCAAGACCGTGAGGACTCAGATTCACCTGAGGCTCTTCTTCACAGACTTCATGGGAAGTACTCAAAGAAGACTGAGAGAGGCAAGAGAGAGCATTGGGAGGGGCGAGGGAAGCCTGCCTGAGAGGCCTGGGAAAGAGAAACCCTTCAGAAAAGGCAAAACTGCAGCTGATTTCTCTGGTTCTGTATCCTTTACTGGGGGTGGGCGAAAGGCTTAAGGCGCTGAGGCAACATCAGCAAACTCTGATGACATCACTGTACCTAGAGGGAGGAATATAGAAATCCCTCTAGACTTAGGATAGGGAGTAAAAGCAAGAATACAGTATGAGCTCAGAAGAATCAGCAGTCTCCTAAAGCTGGGGCAGGAGAACACTGCTGTGGTTCCCCAACAACCTAAACCTAGAGGTACCACACTATCCAAGTCCCAATCCTGGGCATGTATCAAAAATGAATGAAATCAGTCTGTCCAAGAGACTTCTGTACTCTCATGTTTCCTGTACCACTGTTGATAAGCACTCATTTTTAGTGCATCATTGTTGATAATACCTAGTAATGGGAACAAACTTAGTGTCCCTCAACTGACAAATGAATAAAGAAAATGTGGTACATATACAAAATCAAACACTATCCATCCATAAAAATAATATTGCCATCTCTACAACATGGATAGAACTAGAGGCAATTATATGAAGTGAAATAAGCCAAGAGCTGAAACACGAGTACTGCATTAGCTCACTTGAATGTGAAATTAAATAGTGTTGATGTCACAGATGTTAAACAGTATAATAGTGGTTACCAGACACTGAGGAGAGTAGAAGACAGAAAAGAGTAAAAGCACAGGTCAACAGGTAGTAAATTAGAGGACAGTGACAAGTTCCAGCATTCTACATTCTGTTGAACAGTAGGGTAAATAGGGAGAAGGACAACGCATATTTCCCAGTCAAGGAAAAAAAAAAAAAAACTAAAGGATTTTTAATGTTTTTATCACAAAGAAATATTTGTGGTGAAAGACAACTGCCATGTTTAGACATTACACCATGAATACCTGTTATAAATCCCACATGGTACTCCATTAACACGAACAAATTTTAGGTCAATTTGAAAAAACGTTTAAGATATATCAACATTTAAGATATATCAACATTAGAAAACGGTAAATTAAAAATGAAAACAGAAACCTCCATACAACGCAGTTATCACTGAATGAAATAAGACAACTAACAATACCAAGTTCTATCAAGGATACAAGTGCAACTACCATAAATTGTTGGTGAAAAGGTAAAATAACATAGCTAACTTGACACTGTCAACTTGGCAGTTTCTTATGAAGTTAAACAGTTATCACATGACTCAATAATGTCAACCTGGCATTTTATCTCAGAATAAAAGCAAGCTCACACAAAAACCTAACACTAAGCATTCATAGTACTCTTATTTATAGTAATTAGCAAGAAGGAAAAAAGTACCAAAAGTATCCAGATTAAAAAACTGTTGCATCTAACCATAAAATACTTAACCACAACAAAAGAAAAGTGAACTACAGTACATGCAGAGATGAATGAATTTGAAAAGCATATATAAGTAGCTATGTTAAAAATGGTATGCACTCAGGCCTGGCACGGTAGCCTACTGGCTCAAGTTTTCACCTTGCATGAGCTAGGATTTTGTATGGACACCAGTTTGTATTCCTGGCAGCCCCACTTCCCATCTAGCTCCCTGCTTGTGGTCTGGGAAAGCAGTTGAGGACAGCCCAAAGCCTTGGGACCCTGCACTTGCTCAGAAGACCGGGAAGAGGATCCTGGCTCCTGGCTTCGGGTCAACCCAGCTCCAGCCATTGCAGCCAGCTGGGGAATGAATCAACTGATAGATCTTCCTCTCTGTATATCTGACTTTCCAATAAAAATAAAAGTAAATCTTAAAAAAAAATGGCATGCATTGTATCATTCCACTTTATATGATATTCTGGGAAATGCAAAACATAGGACCATTACAGGAACTACACAGAGCAGCAGTTCTTGGGGGCTGGAGACAGAGAAGGGAGAGTTCTAAGGGTCCTAAGATACTTTATGTTCTTGACTGTGGTTGTAGTTTAGTAACCATGTTTTTTCAAAACTCTCACAGCTGGGGTTTGTTTTGTGGCACAGTAAGATAAGCTGCTCCTTATAATGCTGGCATTCCTTATTAGCCCTGTTCAAGTGCCAGCTGTTCCACTTACAATCCAGTTACCTAATGTGCCAAGGAAGGCAGCAGTACTTGGGTCCCTGTCACCCATGTGAGTGACCCAGATGGAATTCATGACTCCTGGCTTTGCTCTGGCCCAGTCCCAGATGTTCCATCGATTTTAGGAATAAATTGGTGTGATCAAAGATCCCCTGCACTCAGCATTGCTCTCTATACATTCTTTCAAAATAAATAAACCTTAAAACACACACACACACACACAGCCACTAGGAGTACACCAAGAGCAACCTCACTGAAGAATAAACTAGGGGTGCAGTGGCTCTACGGGCTAATCCTCTGCCTGCCAGTGCCAGCATCCCATGTGGCACTGGTTCATGCTCAGCTGCTCTATATCCCGGTCTGGTTCCTGCCTGTAGATTGGAAAGGCAGCGGAGTATAGCACAAGTACTTGAATCCCCGTGCCTACATATGGGAGACCTGGAGGAAGCTCATAGCTCCTGTCTTCAGATCAGCTCAGCTTTGGTAGTTGAGGCCATTTGAGGACTGAACCAGTGAACAGAAGAGTCTGTCTCTCTGTAACTCTGCCTTTATTAAAAAAAAAAAAAGTTTTCTTTATTTTTGGAGGGAAGGGAGGTTTACAGAGAGAAGGAGAAACAGAGAAAGGTCCTCCTCCATTTGCTGGTTTACTGCCCAAATGGCCAGAGCTGAGCCAATGCGAAGCCAAAAACAAAGGGCTCCTTCTGGCTCTCCCACATAGAGGGTCCAAAGGCACTGGGCCATGCCCCACTGCTTTCCCAGACCATAAGCAGGGAACTGGAGAAAGAGGAACAACCAGGACACAAACCAGTGCCCACATGGGAATCTGATGCTTGGCGGCAGAGGGTTAGCCAGTTAAGTCAACGCACCAGCCTGAACTCTGCCTTTCAAGTTAAAAGAACTAATAATAATAATAATAATAATAATAATAATAATAATAATAATAATGTAGGTTTACTTAAACCCTTATATTAGATTAATAAACTTTACTTCATATAAAAAATGCACTAACAATTATAGTAAAAATAAAAATGGCTATATAGTGTTACAAAGTACAAAAGGAATCTTGACTGACTAGGTAAGTGTTCCAAGGGTCTATATTCTACAGGACTTAGGTTAAATTTGGGGTTTTATTATTGGTGGTTTTTTTTTAAGATTTATTTATTTTTATTGGAAAGTCAGATTTATAGAGAAGGAGAGACAGAGAGAAAGATCTTCCATCTGCTGATTAACTCCCCAAGTGGCCACAACGACCAGAGATGAGCCAATCCAAAGCCAAGAGCTCGGAGCTTCTTCCAGGTCTCCTATGCAGGTGCAGTGTCCCAGGCTCTGAGCCATCCTTGACTGCTTTCCCAGGTCACAAGCAGGGAGCTAGATGGGAAGTAGAGCTGCTGGGACAACAACTGGTGCCCATATGGGGTCACGGCACTTGTAAAGCCAGGACTTTAGCCACTAGGCTACCATACCGGGCCCCTAGGGCTAAATCTTGTACCCTTTTAAAAGTCTACCCTTTATTTAAACAACCTGAAGTTTGGGTATCTATCAACTTCCTTTATAGGAAAATAGGAATTCACATGTGGATGGGAAAATATGACTGAACTGTTTGGATTTCCATTCTACCTTAGGGTTTCTGCCTCACCTATAATAAGTGCCTTTAAAGAAGGACAGAAGGAGAGATGGAAAGGAAGAGGCGAGTGGGGAGGAAAAGGAGACAAGGAGAGGGAGGGAAGAAAAATGTTAGTAGGAAAGGAACCAAAACCAAAGTGAACACTACAACGACAAGTCACAGAAAATGGATTCTAATAAAATGCCTGAGTCCTCAGTGTTAGATTTTCTCTTAGTAATACAATAAAATCGTTAAGATGAAAAAAAAATAGCTCTACTTACCCAGAGCAGTTACCAAAAGTCAAATGAATGAAATGAAAGCTTCTGTAGTTTTTGTCAAGCAACCATAATTTCTTCAACAATTATTTAAACGCTGACTATATACTAATTAGCAATTAGGAACTAATTAAATACTGCCTAACTGATGTTGAACAAACAACATTATACCAAAAAATGTCATTTTTAGAGATATAGCACAATTCTTTTGGGTTTTTAAAAATAGATTTATATTTACCTCAAAGCCAAGTCTATCCTTTTCTTTCCAAAAACAAAAATGTGTTACTTTCTTGTCCCAAAATTCATCTGGTTTCACGACACAGACAAGGGATACCTCAGCTGGAACAACATTCTACAAAACACAGGAAAAAAGTCACCATAAGTTACACAAATGATGAGTAACTTACTAAAATCCTAAGCTACTAAATATTAAAATAATGATAAAGCAAGAGACTTTTAGAATAGAAGTAAAATAATCATAAAGTAGAAGAGATTCTATTTTACTTAAAAACATAAGAGTAATAAATTGGTAAACTGACTGAGAAAATATTTCAAACAATGTAATACAGACAGTATACGTGAAGTACTATTTTACTAAACCTCTTAACTGGAAATATGTTTGGATTAAACTTTAAACTGAAAACTAGCTGAGAATTAACAAATGCAGGCTTTATGTGAAATGAAAAAATTTTTCATATAATCATCTTATAGAATCCCTTCAAAAGATGTAAAACCAATTTTCTCACACAATTATTAGTTGAAAAATAGGCCAAAGGGCTAATTTTTGACAAATACAACTTCACATTTACTAGTTTACCTAAAGAATGGAAATGAACATTTATTGAGTTAATATTTCATATCATATTCCATTACCAAATTCCACAGTTTAACTTTAAAATATATTTTCATAGTTAATAATTTCTACCATTTGCATTGCTATAATCTTCACATTGGCCAGCTTTACCGAAACCTTCAGGACAGGCTTGCCTGCTCAAAACTCAGCTCTCCATTAAGGTCTATCCGAGACACTAAGCTCAGGCCCCTGCTGAGCTCTCAGTCCACGCCCTACTCCTCTCCTGCCAGCACACTCCCCAGCCACAGCCAAGCTGAACTCACTATCACTGGAATGTGACAATATAGCAACTCTGGCTATATCACTTCCTGTTTGGAATGTTCTTTCCCTAATACCCAGGAGGGCTCCTTTAATTTAAGAGTCTACTCAAACAGTTCCTCTTCAGGAAGACCTTCCTTCTCCCTGCAAAGTTGGGACTATCTGACTCAGTCTCCTTTTCCTGGTATTAGCAGCATTCATCATCGACTGACACTGTGCTTTACTAGTCTACCTAACTGACCATTATCCGATCACTTAGCGAGAATATAAGCTCACTGGCAAGGCCTTTCTCTATTGTGTCATTCCCAAATTTCCTCTGCCTGTCCTAGTGTCTAACATACAGAAGACACTCAAAATACTTGTGAACTAAATCCTCACAAATATGATGATTGCATTCTCTTAATTTTCCAGGAGATAGAATAGAAACCAGATCTATCTAACTCAAGTTCTGCCAGATCATTTCTTACACTGCAGACCAGACGTCAGTAAATTCTCAGAGCTCCAGGTAATAAATGCCTTGGACTACAGGCATACAATCTTTATCACAATTACTCAGTTTTGCGAAGGTAGAGTGAAAAAAGTCACACACAGTATGTAAATCAATGGGCACGATTGAATTCTTGAAACTCAATCCTTCTAAATCATGACTGGCAGTAGCATTAAAAATTATTAATATTTAGGGGAAAATAGAAATCTTTTCAACATGAACATGTCATTGAACACATCAGAAAACTATAACCCACTGCAAAGACTGATTTGTGATGAGGCACTAAATCCAATGATGTCCAAACTTTTACCAGAAGGTCTAGAAGAGTTAGGGCAAATTTGATGTTAGTTGATAAATTAACTTTGGAAGATTATTGTAAATCACAAATAGGAAAGCTGTCAGAGACAGGACAAACCAGATACCTCAGTCTAAGGAACGCTAGCAGAAAAGTCTGGGCCCGCAAAGAAATGATATCATTGCTTGGAGACAGAAGCAATGAAAGACTTCCTATGTAAAAATGGTCTAATTAGAAGTCAACAACAGGTCACTGCAACTTCTGAAAATGTTAACTATAAATAAATCCAAAAGTTGTTAAAATACCTATCAGAAAAGAAATCGCAAGAGGGGATTTAATCATCCATTGACTGTTCTTCAAAACTGCCATTGATCAAAGTCCAGTGCAAACAGCCAAGTCCTCAACAGCTCATCTGTGACACAGTTGAATGACAGGATGAAAGGAAGAACATAAGGCAAAATTAATGGACTTCTCACCTAATAGTTATTTTAACAACGTTTACAGAGAAGAGTTCAACCTAAGGGTTTGGAATATAAAAGTGGTGGGTATTTGACATAAAAATTATTATATTTGATATAATGTTTGACATAAAAATTATTAAGGGATACCAACTAGGTTCCTGGGCTTGTGTCTTCCAAAGGCTATATCCCTTCTCTCAAAAAAAAAAAAAAAAAGATCCTACTGCTGCTAAGACCAGGCTCCACATCTAAGGAATATGGAACAATATACACCTCACCTGGGGAGCACCTCCTGGTGATACACACTTTGGAATGCATAAAGCCCAAGCCTGATTCTCTTGCTATGCTAACTTGAAACCCACAGTTACTAAAAATCCTTGCCTATCAGCTGACCTCTAAGGGTGAGAAAAAGATCACTACAAACAGGCTTACATTGTACTATCTGAAAACCATACTAAACAGTAAAACTCAGACTGGATATACAGTCATTCCAATTCTTCAAATTCCATATTCCTAATCATCTAAATAAAGGACAAAACCAGAATCACTTTCCTCAGATTGCTTTAAATTTTTAATTATATTTCTTTCCACAGAATCCCAAAGCAATGACCAGTTATTTCTCATATTCATTTAAAATTCTTCCTTTTTCTGACGTAGTCAAATATTTGTTATTCCATGTTACTACAAACTAATAATTTCCCCCAAACTAGCCTGCCATTAACCTCCTTTGCTTTATTGGCTTCCTTCGTGAGCTAACACAAAGACCATCTCAGACTGCCATTTCACTTCAATCAGATAATCTTTTACTTAAATTCTACATTCTCTAGCTGCACTTCAAGGAAAACCAGACGAAGGAAACCGATCTTCCCTTTCAATCACTCAAATGTTTTATGTTTTCATTTCAAGTCAAAATCCCTCTAATATCCTTATAAGAAATCAATGGAAGTGCACTATGCATCTGTTCTGTGGCCGGAACACAAAGAACATTCTGTGAGGAACATAAGAATAAATAAAATGGAGACTGGGATCAGATGCTAAGGACTTCATAATCATATATTTTATATATAATACTAATTTGCTAGCTGCTCAAAGTTCTTAAAAACACAGATACTACAAAAGTTTCTCCTGAGCTATGAATAATAGTAAAATCATTATAAATCCTAATGTTTTTGGAAGGAAAGAGGAAACCAAAAGGAAGAAACAATCAAGACAGCCCCAAAAAGTTTCTTCTGAACAGACTCAGGCATTCTACTCCCAACCTGCAGCATCCTCATAGGCCCAGGAAGAGAAGGACTTTGATGCCACAGTGCACAAAAGCTCCCAGCTGGGTGTGATAACATCCACAGGAGTGCTATTAGGACCACAAGCCACCTTGCTTACCTAAACATGATGACAGATTATTTTCAATCATTTAAGGTTTTTAGAAAAGAGCTGAGATTTAATTTACTACTTAAATCCAAGTATATGCAAACCAAGTAATATAAACCTAGAAGAGACACGTGAATTTTCAGAACTTAGTCACTAGTAAGAAGCCCAGGCAGAGTTCAATAAATGAAATGCAGCTGCTTTGTTTCACCACAATCTGTAAATCTGCTGTAAAATACATAAAGCATTTCCTAATGGAAAAAAATTAAAATTACCTGTAGCATTAAGACTACTGTTTTCACCACATTCCACTGTGATTTTCTGCCATCCACAATCACGGTAAACCCTCTCGCCTTACATTTTTCACTGAAACAAAACAAAGTATTAAATTACAAAAATTTAAAACAAACTCTAGGGGCTGGCATTGTAGTGGGTAAAGCTGCTGAATGAGAAGGCAGTATCCCATATGTGCATTGGTTTGTTTTTGGCTGTTCTACTTCGAATCTAGTTTCCCATTAACAGCCTAGGAAAAAGCAGTGCAAGATGGCCCAACTGCTTGGGCTCCTGCCACATTCATGCGAGACACAGATGAAACCCCTGGCTTCGGTTTGACCTAGGCGCTGCCACTGTGGCCATCTGGGGATTAACCAATGATGAAAGAGCTTTAAGGTCTCTCTTCGTCCCCTCCTTTCTTTCTTTCTTTCTCTCTCTCTCTCCTGCTGCTTCCCATCTTCATGTAACTACCTTTCAAATAGATAAATACATATTTTAAACAACAAGTTCTAGATTTTGCTCCTGCTGATTTAAAATAAAGTTTACAACTTAATAATCCATAGAGCCGAATTAACCTCACTTGGCTTAGGCTAGGCTGTCAGTGAATAAAATTCTTCAGGATACTTTTTCAGCTTTCTCAGGTATTTTACTTGAGAATTTACAAGCTAATGTAACGCTTGAAAACAGAATGTCAACGTCTTAAAAAGTAAGGAAATCAAAGCAACATTCAAGCCTCTCAATTCCTTTATTAGTTAAATGTGATCACAGTAAAATAAGCAATTAATGATTGCCAAGTGCATTATATATTTATTTTCTCTCTTTCCTGCAAGTAGAAAATAAAGTAAGCTACTACTAAATCACTAGAAATGGGTTTCTTGGTGCTCATTAAGGAAATCTAATGAGAAAAGGTAGTGTTTGTGGCACAAAATGATTCAAAGCTTGAATAACAACATCATGTCTGAACTACCTCTGTTCACACGCTCACATTCCCAGTCACTTGGCCAGCTAAATTTATCTTGCATGTTGGACTATGTGCTATTGTTCTGAACGTTGGGAGAGTGTGTTACTGCCATTTCTATATGTATATATGTTTATATAAAATATTCAATTATTCAAGCATTTACTAAGCATTTTCCAGATGTCAACCTTAGTAAAAACCTAATGATACCTGTATGGATAAGCTACATCTCAAAGTTCATACCAAATAGTTATTATTGTTGCTGTTCTGCTTATCAATTTAATGCAAAGATCTCCAATACAATGGAAGAAACAGCTATGAGACAAAGCAGGAATTTGGGAAGAAAACGTCCTCACCCACACTCTTCCTAACTACATATGTTATAGGAAAGGTTAACAGTGGATCTTTCCCTAGGATTTGAACCACCAATCCAGAAGATGATACTAGTCATTTGGGACACCCTCGTAGGAGTCATCCTAGTCTCAATGAGGCTACTGCAGAAGCAATGTCCAATTCTACTGAGAAACAGTAAGACAACAAAGATTACAGGGGAACTAACTCCTCTGTAAGCAAGACACAAGCTGGGTTTCCAAACTAAATAGAAAAGTGTTCAAAAGGTGAGTCAAACTGAAGCACAGTCCACAGAAAAGCTTTCAATATAAACATACAGGGCAGCTTAATTAATAATCACCTAACAGTAGAAAACAAACACTCCAAACGTCCACAAACTGAAAGAAAAGCAAAATGGGGTTTATGTGAGAAAATATTATTCAGCCATATTAAAAATGAGTTTCTGTTACTTGTGATAACGTGGATATGCCATGAGAGCATTACACTAAGTAAAAGGAACCAGAAATGGCTATGATGCATGATTCCATTTACATGAATACTAGAACAGACCAATTTGCAGACAGTAGGCTCGAGGATGAAAGGGGCTTGGGAGCATCAGGGAGAATATGAAGTGACTGCTAAAGGGTACACTTTTCTTTTGGGCTGGTGAAAATGTTGTAGAGTTAAGACATTGCGATGATGGCAAAACTCTGAATACACAAATAAGCATCACATAGTGACAGGGCATTTAGCAACAGAAAACAGAGGACTTTGGTCTAATTAAGATTGTATCACATAGTGATGTTGTAGCTGTCTTGGTTTGTGCAAGTATATTCCATGATGCCTGCACAATGAAAAAAACTGTCTAACCAAGCATTTCTGAGAATATATCCCTGTTATTAAGCAGGCATCACTGTACTAAAAAAAATTTTTTTTGCATACTTTGCATACTTTCAAAAACTGGTTCTTAAGATACACAAATATATTTCACTTTTTAAGTACTCACTTTTTCAATCTACAGTACAAAATTGAGGCTTACTAATCTTGAGGAAAATGTGATGAAATAGAAAAATCACTTCTAGGTACCAACAGTGTAGAAAGACTTGGGAGAAAGAAGCAAACCTACACCTATTTACAATTTGGGAGCTCCTCACTAACCAACATCCAAGAAGGCCACCCTAACACAGAGAGGATCCAGTCCAAGGCTGGCAGCCTCTGCAGGGGAGTCAGCGAAGTTACATCTCACTCACTGTGGGAGTTCACAGCAAGGGGAGCAAGGGAACAGAGTTGTCCCTGGAGGGCATTCGTGCCAGGAGAAGTTCCAGGATCCCCAACATCTGGGACTCCTTCTCATTGCTATTCACATCCCTGAGATACAAGCTACAGAGTCACTGTGTTAATAAACAACACACTTCCATTTCAAAGTATACTATAAATTAAGTTGTTAAGACTAAGGAAGTAATGATGCTTACAAATACCATCTGCAGAGATCCTAAAAGAATAAAACATTCTAAATTCATCCCTTAGAGTGCTTAAAAACACTCTTAATACTAATTTTCTCCCATCTTACCATAATAGTTAACAAAAATACACAGAATCCAAACTATTTCAAATGCCAAAACCAAGTGGTCTTTGAAGAACCTGAAATCATCTTATGTTATTATTAAAAAATTCCTATCCTGCTGTTAATCTGTTTAATATGATATTTTTAGAGGAGTAACCAAAAATACCATACAACCCATGTCTGCATTCCTAGTCTGTAGGAGGACATTGTGAGCCTGGAAGGTCAGCGAGCACAGGTTTGCAGTTCATTGGACAGTATTTGCATGACAACAACCAAATAGCTACCTTTGGTATAAACAGCATGTAAATGAAAACACTTGGTGTAATATACAAAACAAAAGGAATTCCAATCAAGAGAGGGAAACAGTACGGACTCTCAGGTATAAAGTCTGATGCCCCTAATAAACTTCGGCTTTGACCATCAGTCAGGGTCCATGCGTGTTATTATCGGCTCCGTGCACCAAGTCCGTCGCTGCGGGACAGCGACACTAGTCCCTTTGCTGCTCAGGTCCAGGTAGCTGAGCTGAAACAGATCTGGGAAGGGGAGGGCTCTCCAGGGGGCTCACTCCCATAAGACAGAGAAAGGGATGCTACACACAATTGATGGAGTCAACATCTCAGAACTCTTTTTTTTTTTTTTAACAGTGATCCTTTTTTGTTTTGAATTTTGAATTTTATGGTATAATTCCATAGAGTCTGGGACATCTGCCCCACTAAATCCCCACCTCCCCAGACTGATTTTACCCATCTTATTACAACAGTATAGTTCTTTACGAGGAGTCCTAATGCCATCAATCTGTTATTTCAGCGTGCCCCGACATTGTGGTACAATGTCTGACAGTCTAGCATCCCATTGTCTAGATATGTACAACAGTTTCACTGGGAGTCCATCTTTGATTTGGAAGTAGGGATGCACATTGCATTGTATCATCACATCTGAATTTGGTAGTCTTACTAGGCCATCACTATACATTTCCTAAAATGAGAAGCCATGAAACAACAGGTATGAAGTTAAAACAACAAAAACATTTACAGCATCATGGAGTCAAAAAACAAAATAAACAAACAAAAAATAACACCACACCACTGAATAACCAACGCATGGGTGACAAAAGGAAAACACAAAAGCCTCTTGGGTAAAATGATGCCACTGTGTGATTCATGAGCCAGCGATGAATCCGACAAGAGAAAAGAAACTATCTGGAAGAAATGAAAACGAAATCATTGTTTGATTACAACTAAATGCATATTCTCTACACTCAAGAGCTCCATCTATACATAGACATCAGTGTAATTCCACTTACATCTTCATTCTAATTACTTATTTATAATCCGTCTTCACCAGATAACATGCTCTGGAGATCAAAAATATTCTCTCACTGACACTGTAGTAGCTTCTACCATAATGTTTTAAGTTCCAAAAATGTGAGACGTTGCTTCGTACATGCTCCGCAGTCAAAATGCAGTGTTTTCCCTCTGCTTAAGAATTGAAGCCTGCGGCTGATCCCATGAAGCACAGCATGTTAAGCTCCAGCCCCAGGATCCTGTATCAGAGCCCTGGTTCAAATATCCCTGCTCCACTTCCAAACCAGTTCCCAGCTAATGCACCTGGAAAATCAGTGGCAAACGCTCCAAGAATGCGTTAATGTTCTCCTACCCTAGTGTGAGACATGGATGGAGTTTCTGGCTTTTAACTCCTCTGAAGAATGAACTGAAAGGTATTTCTTTCTCACTGACTCCCTTTCCCTGTATTGTTCCTCCTTTCAAATAACTAAACAAATCAATCTTTTAAAACATCGAGGCCTTTGGGAATGGCACGATGGTTCAGTGGCAAAGTTCTCACCTTGCAAAAGTCCACATTCAATATGGGCGCCAGTTTGTGTGCTGGCTGCTCCACTTCCCATCAAGCTCCCTGCTTGTGATCTGGGGAAGTGGCAGAGAATGGCCCAGTGCCTTGATATCCTGTACCCATGAGGAACATCACCAAGGAAGCTCCTGGTTCCTGGTTTTGGATCAGCTAAGATCCAGCCATTGTGGCCACTTGGGGAGTGAATCAGCGGATAGAAGATCTGTCTCCCCTCTCTGACCACCCTCGAGCACTCTGTTCTCTCAAACTCTCCCCGCTGTTTCAAAACACCCAAATTGCCCTATCTCAGATGTTCTCACTAATGTTCCACTCCAAATGTCCTTTTTCATTATTATTTTCCATGATATAGTTTTATAGATATAGCGATTTCTCTAA